TATATAATTTTCTTTCTTTGTTTTTTTGAGTTTTATTATATTTACTAAATTTTTTAAAATACTATATTTAATTTACTTTAAACTATATTATTATACTATATTATTTTACTAAACTATTTAATTTATAATTATTTGTGTATAGCTATATTATTATCTATAACTATATTTATTATCTATAACTACCGGGTGACCACGCAACTGCGCTACGCTCAAATTTAAGGCTCTATCCATGCTTGTAGATATCCGTGGATCTATTTGTTTACAAATTACGCAATGATATCAACACAGAAATAAAAAAAACGTAAAAATTGAAAAAATTTAATTAAAATGGATCTGCAAGAATCAAAAAGACGAAGCATTCTGCAAATGTTGCAATCAGATAAGACTACATCAGATATCAGAAAGGCTTTAAACTGCTCCAGAACAGCATTTTTTCGAGTAAGAAAACTTTTTCATGAAACAGGAGATATCAAACGACGTTTTAATAAACCAAAACCTGTGAAACGATTATCTTAGCTTTTAAGGTCTGTCAAAAGAAAAGTCAAGCGAAATCCATTGCGCTCCATCCGCCAGTTGGCAAGGGAAGCCAATGTTGCCAACTCCACAATGCAAAAAGTTATGAAAGATTTGAACCTTAAATCCAGAGCTGTTGTTACTAAGCATCTTATCACTAATAAACAGAAAGAAAGTAGGGAAGAGCGATGCAAAAAGTTGTTAAATTGGCGAAAATCTTACCCTGGGCGTGTGACAATCTTCTCTGATGAAAAACTTTTCATTGTGGATAAAGTAACCAATCGTCGTAACACAAGTTACCTTAGTACTGCTAAAACAGTAAAGGAAGTCCCTGAGAATATCAGGTATTCATTTTCATCAAAAAAAAAACAGCTTCTGTGATGGTACTTGGCGTGATAGCAAGTGATGGAAAAAAGTGTCCACCAGTTTTTGTGAAAAAAGGTCAAAAAATTGACAGTGATGAGTATATCCACCTCCTGCAAGAGAAGGTCATTCCCTGGTTAAACAGAAACTATCCAGATGGCCAGTATGTGTTTCAGCAGGATAGGGCATCAGCTTATACTTCAAAAAAGACACAAAATTTTCTCAATGAAAACATGAGTCAGTACTGGGACAAATTAAAGTGGCCCCCATCTAGCCCAGATCTGAACCCAATAGACTTTTTTATGTGGACGGCTGTGGAGAAAGAGGCTTGCAAGATTTCCCATGGAAGTACCGAGTCACGAAAAAAATCTATATGCAAAGCATGGGCCAAAATTCCAGAAGAAGATGTCAAGAATGCATGCAGATCCTTCCAGCGGCGTATCCAACCAATGGTGGCCACATTGAAAAATTTTAAACCTTAGTCATGAATAAACATCTAGTCAAATTTCTAGTCAGTTATGAATTGAAATAAATTTTTTGTGTATTTTCAAATTTTTATATTTTTTGCGTTACGCTGTTGCTCGGTCACCCGGTATATTATTTTTTGTATATTATTTATTCTGATTTATCTGTATATCATTTTCATTTGTTAATCGTAGTTAGTTGATATATTTTTTATTATTTTATAAATAACTTAATTTTATCTAGTTTTGATATATAAACATATCTTAACTGTTACTTATTTTTAATTATTATTGTTATACTTTTTAATTATTATTGCTATATCTTTTTTTCTTCTTTTTCTTCTTCTTAGCATCTTTTCTTTATTCTATTTTACTTTTTAATGATGGTAGTGAAACAACCATGCGGCATATGCTTTAAGGGAGTTGCAAAAATCATTCCGCAATTCAATGAGATCTATATGACAAATGGATACACACAAAATGCAATTAAATTGACAAACTAACATTTGAAAAAGTCAAAACTTTAAATACTTGGTATTGCCTAATCTGTACAAAAACATTTCTTCCATTCTCTAACATTTCGGATCTTGAGTTATCTACTATACTTGCAGGAAAGTCGCTGAAATTCAACGGGAAAAAATTTATCTGAAAATACAAATTTAAAAAACTTTTTGGGGACCTCAATGACTTATCTTCCACTTCAATTAACTGTGAATATGTAGAGGTTCTTATGTACAATAAATTGCCCCAAAAATTTTTGAATTAGAAGGATATGTATCTGGTCACACGCCAACTAAAGCTAAAAAAGGTGGTGTTTTAATTTATATTAAGTCTAACTTAAATTATAAAATTAGATCTGAATTAGTCCTGCTTAAAAGTAAGGAACTCGAATCTATATTTATTGAAGCTATAAATTTAAGAAAAAGCAGTCTAATAGTGGGCTGTTTATATCGCCTTCCATCAATGTGTTCAACTGAATTTGTTGATTACTACCTAAATCCACTTCTTGAGAAAATTAGCTTAGACAAAAAAAAGTTTATGCTAATGGGATATTTTAACTTTGACTTGCTCAAATACAATACCTCAAATGAGGTATCTTATTTTTTAGAATCAATGGTCTCAAATTCTTTTTTTCCTTTTATTATTAAGCCTACACACAATACCACCCATTCTAAGACAATAATTGATAATATTTTTTTAAACTTTTATTCTTCTGAAATTATTTCAGACAACCTTACCGCTTCAATATCTGATAGTTGAATTTAGAATTCAAATTCTGAATTCTAAATTCAACTATCATGACAACCTGACCAATCCTACTAGCAACTCTTTTTATATGCAGCCAATAACGAAAGAGGAAACTCTTGATTATTTAATTCCACTATTATAGAAGGGAAGAGTGTCGGACCAAACAGTCTTCCAACAAAACTTTTTAAACTGGTATCGGGAACTCTATGTAAACCAATTAGTATTACTTTAAACAAATCATTTCGCAAAGGAACATTTCCCGATGCCTTTAGCTAGCTCAAATTATTCCGGTTCACAAAAAAGGATCTACAATTGACTGCACTAATTATCGTCCAATATCTCTTCTTTCTAATGAAGTCAAAATATTTGAAAAAGTTATGCATAATAAACTATACAACTTTCTGAACCAAAATCAATGCTTCTATAAATATCAGTTTGGTTTTTGTAAAAAGTATTCGACAGCTCACGCTCTTATTGAAATTACAGAAAGTATAAGAGTTGCTCTTGATAATGGTAACTTTGCTTGTGGGGTTTTTGTCGGTTTGCAAAAAACTTTTGACACTGTAGACCATGAAATTCTCCTCTCAAAGCTTAACTATTATGGTGTAAGTGGCATATCCTTGCAGTGCTTCAAGTCATACCTTTCTGATCGTCAACAGTTTGTAACTATAAATGGAACCAGCTCAGATATTAAAAACGTTTTAATTGATATACCTCAGGGATCCATATTAGATCCATATTAGCTCTTTATTATCTATATTAATAATCTCAATCTTTCTATCAAACATTCAAAAACGTATCACTTTGCTGATGATACTAACCTTCAATTAATAATAAACTCTCTCTTTATAAATAACTTTATAAATATATAATGAAGATATGGCATATAAATATATTAATATGATATTCAATGGCTTAGAGCAAATAAAATCTCATTGAATACTAAAAAATCAGAAATAATTATATTTAGAACTCAAAATACTAACTTTTCTAAAAAAACTAAGAAAAATATTCCAAAATACTTGAACTTTCAAACTTGAAAAACTTTCATTCAAAACACACATATCCGACCTTACTCTAAAGTTAAGCCGTTCAAACACACATATCCGACCTTACTCTAAAGTTAAGCCGTTCAAACGGCATGTTAGCAAAAGTTCGACATTACGTTAACTTTGAAACATTGCTCTCTATATATCACTCAATTTTTGGTTCACAATTACGATACGCATGTCAAGTTTGGGGACAATCTAAAAGCGTATGTCTCTCTAGAGTTGTTTCAATTCAAAATAGAGCGGTACGGATTATTCATTATTGTCCGAGAAATTTTCCTACTGACATCCTATATCTTACATCCAAAATTCTTCGCTTCAATGACTTAATTCAGTTCTTAAATTGTTCATTTGTCTGGGATCAACAACATGGTGTCCTTCCTACTATGTTTCACAACTACTTTAATAATAAAACAACATGTGGGCATAATCTAAGATCAGTCACTTATAACAACTTAACTCTCCCACTAAAACAGACAAGTAAACATGGAATTAATTCCATTACATACCAGTGTGTCCTTTCTTAGGACTCCCTTCCGAACACACTAAAATCAGGTCTCATCCTTAGGTTCAAGAATCTGTTCTTAAAATCACTCCATTATTTCTACCTAAAAGGTTAGGCTTAACTTTACTTTTTAATTTTTTACTTTCTACCTTTTGACTTATTGTTTTATTTTTATTATAGTTTATTATTTTATTATAATTTTATTTTTAATATTTTATTTTGAATAATTAATTTTATTATGATTTACTTATTTATTATAAGTCTTGTTTAAATGTACCTTATATTAGTTATGTTATATATATTCGAAAAGTCAGATTTTTATGGTATAATTAAATAAATTTTTATACAATTTTACTTTTATTAGTTAATATTATGTTAACTTATTTAACTTAACTTTCTTTTATAACCTACATTTTTATGTGGTTTTACTTATTACATATTATTATTATTGTTATTATTACTTTTTATCTTATTTAGGTCATTGCGCTTTATTAGAGAATCACTATTTGCAATGACCGGTGTTTTTGTAACACCTGTAACACGAAATATATTGTTATTGTTGTTTTATTGTCATTATTTTGCTCACTTTAATAAAGATGACATTTTTAAATTGTTTAAAATAAATTCTTGAGCGTGCAGATAACGACTTTTAACTGCTTTAGCTTGGTTTCTTTACACTTTTTATGACCATAAAAAAATTTTAAAAGACATCATTAAAGAGTTTAAAATACTATTAAATTAAAACTTCTATTATGGATGTAACTCCCTATTTGGAATTAATTTTCATACAATATTTCAAGGGATTATAGCTACCCTTGTTGTCAAGTATATACATATATATATATTTAAAAAACCGTTAAAAAAAAATAAAAACAAAACAAATCAATGCAATAGTTTCTTTTCATTTAAATACCGAGACATAGGTTTCCAAAAGGAAGTTGTGACGTAACCTCCGTCATCCTGATTTAGACCGCCGCACAGTGGGTCAGATCTCAAAAAAGCTGGTCAAATAGGAAAAAAAAAACTTTCCGATACGGTATTTTTGGACTATCAGGTTGGTTTCAGTGATGTTTGGACTACTTATTGCCGGGTGTCCAGAAGATCAGCTATTCATTTCGTGCGCTATATTGCAGATCGAACGCGGCAGTCCTTTGTCTGTCGTACTTGCGTACGATAAAGCTAAAAAATCGTATTTTTTTCAAAAATAAATATTTTTGTTGTGTGCACGTGAAACAAATATTTTTATTATAGGATTCGTTTCACAAGGTATGTACTAAATAAAAAACAAAAATATTATTATTAAGTCATTAATTATAAAGGTTTTTTTTAAATTAACTTAATACAGAAAAATATTTTATAAATTTGTAAAATTTGCTTTAAAAATAGTGATAAGTTACGAATTCCACGATATTCCACTTTCATTCACATTGTGTTTGTACGTATGCAGTATTTTTTTTGTAATTTAACATTCAAATTCACCTACTAGTACCAACTCCACTTTTAAGTTTTGTTTTATATGACAGTTGCAAAATGCCGTTATTGAGACATCTTGAAAAATGAAAGTAAAATTGTTTAATTACGAGCTACATTTGTATAATTTTAATTATAATCGATGTCTAGAAGCATTATAAAGAAGATTAAAAGTAGAAAAGGACGGGAACAACGCTTTCTCCTACACAGTGAGATGAATAACTTAGAAAAGGACAGTGATCGCTACACACACCGCCACACAGTAGTTACCATTTTCCAATCTTCAAGATATGATTGCATTCCTTTTTTTTTTTTTTTTTCTTGTTTCATATTTTTAACTGAATAATTGGTTATTTTTTTAATGATATTATTAATATTAAAAAATATTTTTTATTAAAAAAGTTATTAACTTCATAATTAAATTAAGAAAAAGTTAAATATAAATACAAACATGGTTCATATGTTTTTTTAGCGCTTTTAAGTATTTAATGAGTTAATAAATAAATACATAAATAATGCATAAATTGATAATTAAAATAAGTCATTATCTTTTTACAGTATGGATAGAATTTATTTAAATTACTGGATAATACATTATACATTTTTATTAAAATTAGAATATCAAAATAAATAATTTAGTTTAAAATTTGATAGCCGTTAACGGACTTATTACAATGTAAACGATTTGGAAATGGATGGAATTCATTTAAATGATGGTATAAATACAATTATATATTTTATTAAAATAAAATGTTAAAAACTTAACTAAAAATTGAGTAAATACATTTTAAATAACCCAGTAAGCACAAAGACGTTCAAAAGACGTTTTAAAGATGTCTTTAAGGAGGTCTAAAAAGCGCACTTGTAGACGTCTAGATCATAAGGCTAAACGACGTCCAAATAAAAACGTCTTTATAAAAACGCGTTTTAGACGTATTTTAGACGTTTATTTTAAGATGAATTTAAGTACATGACGTAACATTTTCGCGTAGTATGTGGTATACATTCATTGTATTTATACGTCAAATATTGTTATGATTTCGTATATACAAAATATACATAGGAACCAGCAATCTAAATAATATAGCTATCACCAACAACGGTTGATGATGCAAAGATGTAAATAATAAATAACAATAACAATTATATATCAAAACAGTATTTTTAACTTATTTTTAGTTATTATTAAATTTTACTTATGAATTGTTAGCCAATTTTTGACAGGATACTTGACTTATTATATAGCTTGTGGGTGTATAAAAACTAAAAATACTGATATTTATTTTATATATTATTCTTGCCATTTTCACTTATTATCATGATCAGTCAACTATCTATTAAAAAAGCAAAATAATTATTAATAAAAAAAAGATATATTAATATTATAGCAATTATTTTAGTGATTCCTGTGACAACAATTTTAGCAATTGTGTAAAAAAGTAATTTAATTTAAAGTAATTTACACTTAAAACTTGAACAAATTATTGAAAATAATAAAAACTATGTTTTTACTTTGAATATACGACATTTACTTAACGCGTAATGACAAAGCCGTCAAAAAGAAATCATAATGACATATTTATAAACAGGTCTCAGAAAAGACGTCTTTTAGCCTTGATCTAGACGTCTTTTAATGCGTCTTTTAGACTATTTATTATGCGTCTTTTAAACGTCTTTTTAAACTTTGAAAAGACGTCATTTTAAAAACGCCTTTATAAAAGACGTCTAGAAGATGTCTTAAAAATTGACGTCTTCTAGACGTCTTATTATCTTTTAAAAAGACGCCTTTTGAACGTCATTTTAAAAACTCATTCATAAAAGACGTCTAAAAGATGTCTTCAAAACGTCTACAAAAGTGCATCTTTACCTAGACTAGTTTTAGTCGTCTATAAGTGTCTAAAATGCGTCTTGTGCTTACTGGGAAGTATACATAGATTTTTTAAATTCAGGTTTATCAGATCCACCGATTGCCGTATATAGACTTTCGAGGAAAGAGATCTTTATTATAATAAAAGAATATTTTTCCAAGTGATCATAGAACATTTGGAAAAGTCATTGACTGAAAAGATTGGATATGTAATTTCAATTCGCAACAACATGAGACCTACTATTTCTGTTTTAATGACAAAGTTTAAAAGCAAATAGAAGGAAGCAGCTCAACGACAAGATTATTTTTTCAAAAAGAACGAAAACTGGTTAAAAACTTCAGTATATTTTCAGATTGATGCAAAACGTGCAATTGTTAATAAATTAACGGGTCGACCCACCGGAAGTTTCAAAACTTTATCTGGTAGGTCCAAAAGACGGAGGACTAAAGAGATGCGTACGAAGTTCATTCCTGCCGAACTATCATTTGCTACGCAAATGAGTCTTCGATCTTTAGGGCATTCAGACGATGCTAAGATTGTGAATGACGTTACACTGTCAAGTCCATTCAAGGCAACAAAATACAAAGAAGGTTTGCAACTATCATTATCATTGCCAGCCTTTTATGATGCAAATGAAGCTCTAGCACGTTTATTAGACCTAAGTTTGACGGAAGATTTGTACCAGCATTTGAGAAATCAGGCAAAAAAAAAAGGCTTAAATACATTTTATCCACCATACTCAGCTGTATTGGCAGTAAAAAAATGTTGCTACCCTCCAGACGACACCTTAAATTTTACCGAATCAAAAGCTGAGGTACAGTTGCAAGCTTTATTAGACGACACCGTTCAACGAATTTTACTGCTGAACCAAGACAATATTACATATAAGAAATATTGAATATGACTTTGATTTGTAAGTGGGGCTAATAATTAAAAATATTCTCATACATTATCTTCTCAAAAACACATGTTTACGTAGTTTTCCATGTTAATTAAACTAAAATAAAAAATCTATAAAGTGACGTCCTTTTCTGACAACCTCTCTCTCCCCTTGTCCTTTTTTGTCCTTTTTAACTTGACCCCCTCCTCCCCCCCCTATTTGGATGACGTCCTTTATTTGTTGCCCTCCCCCTATTTGAAGACTTTGTTGCCAGAGGCTGTTGCTCTCTTGGTTCTTGTAACAGAAGATTATGAAGACTCTAACGCAGATACCGATGAAACAAACTTTAAATATAATGAAGATTTCAACAAAGAGACAGATCAAGATGAAAAAGAACCAAAATGATTGTAACTGAAACAAAATGTTTTTTATATATTTAACACTATCTTCCATCATTTGATCCATTTTTTAGCATTTATGGACACATTGGATCCACCATTTTGTTTTTTTTTGTTTTTTTTGTTTGTTTTTTTTACATTTATTTTGCTGTTTAACAAATATAATCAACATATATATATACAAGAAAGAAAGAAATATGTCCGTATAACAAAGAAGACAGTAAAATCTTGTCAACAAGCACCGTTTTTGTATATATAGTATATAAAATAAACTATACTTTTTTACAATGATCTTTATAAAATAAAGAGTTAAACAGACAGGGGCTCAAAGAAGATGAAGATGACAAAACGTCATCGCAATCTTTTCATAGAGCCCCCTATACACATTTTCATTAGGTTATGGATATTAAATTAAATTAAAAACCCTAATGGGCATAAAACTGCTGCGCTGATCAATAAAAACAAATAAATAAGATTATAAAGCAAATTACTTTGTAATCCTTTTAAGCACAAATAATAAGCAAATTTTAAAAATTTCTTTTTTTATCAGAAACTTAAATGAACTTAATGACTTTGCCATACATTTGGATCCTTTTTGATATATATTCCATATATTTGGCCCCCGATATGCAATGCTATATTCAGTATATTTATTAAGGTTTTGAGGCAGTTTATATGTGTTACTTATATTTGCTCTTAGATAGTAGTTTTCATTTATGTTTATTTCAAACTTGTTAGTAAAGTTTGTAGGAGAGAGATTATTATTAAATTGATACATAAAAATTAAATGCTGATAGATATTTATTTCAAAAACATCCATTATTTTCATATCTTTCATTATAGGTTTTGCATGCTCCCGCTTATTTTTAAAGTAAATGATTCTGCATGCGTGTTTTTGTAGACTATAGATTTTTTTAAGTTTTGATGGCTGAGTACTTGCCCATGATATGTTTGCATAGCTGATAAAGCAATGAATTAGTCCAAAGTAAATTAGTTTTAGACTTTGTTTATTGATATATGAGCGAACTCTATACATCATACCAATTATATTACTGATTTTAGATTGAATATATCTTATTTGAGGAAGCCAGGATAGCTTCTCATCAACAAGAACTCCTAAGAATCTAATGCTGGCTTGTTTTTTAATTAAGTTATCATTTAGGATAAAGTCAGGCAACTTAAGAGGAAGGTTTTTTTCTTGCGCCTTTTTATGGAATAATATATATTTTGTTTTCTCTGAGTTAAGCGAGAGTTTGTTAGCTCTAAACCAATTATTTACTTTAATTAGTTTGATATTCATGTCTGCATATAGATTCTTGATATCACTGTTAGTAAGAAATAGATTTGTATCGTCAGCAAACATGACTGAATTTAGTTTTAAAGATGCATTGCAAAAATCATTTATATAAATTAGAAACAGAAGTGGACCAAGGATAGATCCTTGGGGAACTCCACATAAAACATTTAATACTCCAGATTGTATATTGCACACATATTGTTTTCTATTGGTAAGATAACTTTTAATCCAATTGTAAGTTTTATTAATTATACCATAGTATTTTAGTTTATCTAATAGGATGCAGTGGTCAACTATATCAAAAGCTTTTGATAAGTCAATAAAAACTCCTAAAGTAAATTTGTTTTGATTAAAACCATCGGTTATTTGATTAACTAATTCAATAATTGCATGCTCTGTTGAAAGGTTTTTTTTAAATCCAAACTGGTTTGGGTAAAATAATTTGTTTTTGGTAAAGTGATTATAGATTCTATTATAAATTACACGTTCGAAGAGTTTTGAAAAAACAGAAAGTATTGATATAGGTCTAAAGTTGGTTATGTCCGAATGTTCATTACATTTAAATATAGGGATTACTTTTGCTAATTTAAGTACATCAGGGAAAATCCCAGATGTTATTGAGAGCTTTAGTATATGGATCAGAGGTTTACTTAAACTGGTTTTTTTAAAGATAACTAAATCACTAGTTATTTCATCAAATCCAGGTGCTTTCTTTTTTTTTAAAGAGGAAAAGGCTTCTTCAAATTCTTTATATACAAATTCTTTATCGTACATGATGGCTTTATTTGTGGGTGTTAGATAATTTTTAAATGAATCAGTTGTTGGATTTATTTTATTAGCGAGATTTGGACCAATATTTATAAAGTATTTGTTAAATTCTTCGGGTATTTGTTTTTCACAGAATATGTCTGTATTGTTAATATTAATTCTTTTTGGTAAAGAAGTTGTGTTTATTTTTTGCCGTCCCATTATTTTGTTAATGACGGACCACGTTTTCTTACTATCAGATTTGCATTTAATGATTTCATTACTATAGTATTTATTTTTTGCCTTTTTAATCAGATTTTGGTAAAAATATTTATAATTTTTGTAATTTTTCTCGTTATCAGTGTTTTTATTTTTAAGATATTTATTATAGAGTTTTTGCTTCTTTTTTGAGCATTTTATCAGTGATTTATCCATCCACGGATTAAAACTGTTTTGGTCTTAATTATTATGCCCTCTAGAGGACAGGTTTTATTAAAGCAATCTAGGAATATATCTAAAAAAGTATTGAAAGCTTCGTTGGTGTCCTGACATCTATACACGTTGGACCACGTTTCTTGTTTTAGTCTGATTGATAATTCATTACTTGTTACTTGTTTTAAGATTGCGTTTTTTCAAATTTATAACTTTTGGTTCATAATCAGACATGGTTTTTAAATTTCTTACTTTTATAAATATCGGAAAGTGATCACTAATATCAGTCATGAATATCCCGGTTTCAAGTTCCATTTCCAGGTAATTATTAATGAAAATATTGTCAATTGCCTTTGCCGAGGTTTTTGTCACTCGTGTTGGCTTATTAATTGCTGACAAGACATTAAATTTAAGGAGCATATCAAAAAAGGATTTTGTTTTTGGAAATTTTGAACAAGTTAGAGCATCAAGGTTTATGTCTCCAATAACGTAAAAAGTTTTATTTTCTTTATTTATTTTTTCAATTGTATTTTTGATAAAAGTTTCAAATGTTTTGACTTTACCACTTGGTGGACGATAAACGCATCCAATTAAAACATTTCGAATTTTTTTGTTTATGATTTCAACAAATAGACTTTCGTAATTATCATTTGAGAAGCTTAATACATTTTTTATTTTAAAATCGTGCTTTTTTGAGACATAAAGCCCTAACCCTCCACCTTTTTTTCCACATTTTCTTGGTTGACTTATAAGTTTATAAAATGGCAAATTATAAATAGAATTTCAAGAGAATTTTCAAAATCATGCCAAAAAGAATTCAAGAGAATTTTCAAAATCATGCCAAGTCTCTGAAAGAGCTATGACGTCAAACGTGTAATTTATAATATTTAAAAAATTTTTTAGTTTCTCAAAATTTTGCTGCATGCTTCTAATGTTTATATGTAAAACTGAAAAAGAACAATGATCATTTGTTGTTTTAAAATCAAAAGGATCAATATATGGTGTGTCAATTAAGTTAATTTGAGTTTCTTGAAAAATATTTATGTTTTCTTCAAAAGATTTTAAATTTTCAAAATGCGTAGCCATTTTTAACGAATAATTTAAAAAGATTAAAAAAATATAACAATAAATTAAACCAAAAACTTTTAAAAAGCTTACTCGTTTCCGAGCGTCAAACAAACAGCTTCGTTGCGTTCGATTGCTTCATTTCCATGCGTCAAGTTAACTACTTTGTGGATGTTTTCTTTAAATTCATGAACAATAAGTTTATTGTACACGACTTTAGCATAATGACCAATTTGACGATGAAGCTTCGCCTGCTCAAAAAGTTCTTTGCGTATTTTACGAGTTGTAAAACTATAATCTTCATTTATAAAAATATTACTCCTCTTTAATTTTATTGCATTTTCTAAGATTAATTTTTTATCTTCAAAATCTCTAAGCTTTAGTACAATGGTTCGCTCTCGTTCTAATTTAGCGAGCCCTACTCGATGAGCTCGTTCAATTTTAATATCTTTCTCGATTCCAAGTTTTACGTTAAAAAACTGTTTTATTTTTTCTTTAGTTATATCCCAATCCTTTTCTTCATTTGTTTCAATAATCCCATCGATTCTTAAGTTATTGCGCCTGTTTCGATCTTCATTATCTACGCTTTTTAGTTTTAGTTCCGTATTGTCCGAGGATATTTTTCCCTGCATTTTTCTGACATTAGTTAAATCTTCACAAACTTTATTTATTTTTTCGCCTACAGCTTTAACCTTGTCTTCGCATACTCCACCAACAAAATTCAACCCTGATTTTAGATCGTCAAGTTCGCGACAAATATCTTGAATACTCGATTGGAAAATATCAAACTTTAGGTTTGTGCTTAATATTGATTCCCGAAAAAAAGATATAATTGTTTCTTTTTGAAGATTTAACATTTCCCTCATCATTACAATCGATACAAATTCTTCCGATTTAGTCATTCCAGATGAAATATTTTATGTAAAAATATTTATTTTTGTAAACTTTTTAAAAAAAAATTAATTTTTTTAAACTTTTTTTTGTCAAATTTTTAATTTGTGGCCTGAAAGAACCCTTAAAACCCGTTTGCGAACAATTTAAACAATTTTTTAACATATATATCCGGCATATTGGATCCGCCATTTTGTTTTTCTTTTTTTTTAAGCAAAATTTTAATCAGTAACCTCAAAAAATATTTGCCATGAAATTTCATGCAAATCTTGTCGTCAGAACCTTAAATAAGTTCAAACAAGCATCAACATATCATATCATATATCATATAATCATATATATATATATATATATATATATATATATATATATATATATATATATATATATATATATATATATATATATATATATATATATATATATATGTATATATATATATATATATATATATATATATATATATATATATATATATATATATATATATATATTCTGAAAAATAATTTCATGGATATTTACAAATAGTAATTCTTCTAATATCAAGTAAACACCAAAAATATAGATCTTTTTATATATAATTAGTAACAATTATAAGAATAATAAATATAATATTAAAAATAATATTTATAGTAATAAACATAAGAATCCCAATTATAATAAAACAAACAACAACAATAACAATTATAATATTAATTATATAAAAAAAATAATCAAATAATAAGTCAATTGTTTTTATAAACACAATAGTTAAATATACATATAAGTTAGTTACCAACAATTGACTGATAAAATGTAACAATTAACAAGAACATAAAATATTTATTTAAATTGAAAATAATAAAATATGAATATTAATAGTAAAGTTAAAAATAGTAATAATTGTGGCCACGATAAATATTTAAAACTAAAAGAAATAAAACTATAACAAAAAACATGATAAAAATTAAAAATAAAATAAAGAAAAACAAAAAAGCATTAAAAAAAAAAGATAAAGTTTAATATTGTTACATACACACATAAATACAAATATAAAGATATATAAACATACTTACTCACATGCATAGATACATATTTGCACATAAATACACACGCGCGCGTACATGCACTCACATAGCTATGTATACATACACATATAGATACATATACATTTACAGCTTTAAAAATATATACATTTTTTTAAATGTCCAACAAACATAAAATAAAAACATTTAAATTAAAAAACATACGATGCAAACAAAATGAATTATACTCTACAATGCCCAATTAAGATTACACAAGAATACAAAAACAAAAAACAACAACAAAAAAGACAAACGTCCCTCAAAATTAAAAATATTCTTTTACGTTTCTTGTTTGGGGCCATCCATAAAGTACGTACGCATGTATGGGGGGAGGGGGGGTTATCCTGAAACGTACGAATGCGTACAGGGGGGGGGGAGGGTGTTAACGACAGCGAGTACGTACGCGGTTTAACTATCTCTCCTAAACTTCTTTATAAAAACATTGAATTTCACGTGTTTTAATGTTTTTTTATAAAAACATTGAATTTCACGTTAAAAAATCATAATATAATATATGTTATTTTTTTTTCTGACTTCAATTACAATTGTTTTTTATTTTTCTTTATAAGTAACGAGGAGAGAAAAAATCGAGCTATAATATCTCCAAAAAATGTTTTCCATTTTTTGCAACATAATTCGACTGTAGCAAGATGAAAAGTAACAAAACTGTAATCAAAGAAAAGTTCTTCTGAATTCTTTTTTTAATTACGAATCTGGTTTTTCCCATTTCTCTTAAAAGGTTAATATTTTGTTATTAAAAAACAATAAAATAAAAAAAGGTAATATTATTATTTTTTTTATCATTAAAGTTAATATTAACATACATTAAGATTGCTAAGGACAGGCGAAGCGAAATGAACATACATGTGACAATGCATATGACAATCATTGTGATAATTGTAAAAAATAGTTACTTTAAATGCTGATGGAAACCAACACTTTTTATGATGCAATGTAACGGCAATTATCTTGAGTAAACTAAAACAAAAAAAACTTTTATGATTCTATTCGAAAACTCAATACGCCTCATTGGAAAAAAAACTTATTATTTATTATGACCAAGATGCCGCGCGGGAACGAGAAAAAATACCTTCAATTCCTTGAGTTATATAAAAAAGCATATTCAACACTTGAAAAACAAAAGCAGTATCAGCAAGCACAAGAGTTGTGGAAAATAGTAAAAAACAATGAATCCTTGTATGAAAAAAAAAAATAAATGAGTTAAAAGAGAAAGTAACAAAGTCGAAAGTATCACTTATGTCATTCTGGGGAAATACCATTTCACCACCTAGCAAAAAGAAAAAAGATATCCATCCAGCGCCGTCTTCGTCAAATGAAACACGAAGTTTCCTAAATGCAACTACGACAGAGCCTGCAAGGATTGAAATTAGTAAGCTAATTTCTGTAATATTTTAAAAACTTTTTCTCTCTTGTGATTTTCTATACATTAGGCCGGGTGAATAAAAAAGAGCAATTGCTTTTTCTCAGTAACTGTTCAGCTTTGCGTGAATAAAAATTTGACCAAGATTGCTCAAATTTTTATTCACGTAAAGCTGAACAATTTACTCCAACAACGCTCAACTTTACGTAAATAGAAATTTGAGGATAATTGCTCAATTTTTTATTCACGTAAAACTGAACAATTACTGAGTAAAAGCAATTGCTCTTTTTTATTCACCCGGCCTACTGAGTTTAACCGTATTGTAAATCAAACTACATCGTACGACCTTAGAGCAGTCACAGAAATTTATAATGTTGACCACTTGACCTATTTTTCTATATCCAAAATAAATTGATTAGTAGTAATTGTCAAGAATTTATAATAGCTTATTTTTTGGCATTTTTTAATTTAGATTTAACAGACAACAAAAAAGAAAGAGAAAATCCGGCACAAGTTAGGAGTCGAAAGAAAATCTCAGATCTTGAATCACAACGTGCATCCTTGATAGTCGTACGTGATTCTGGTTTATCTACCGTAACAAAGGAACAAATAAACACTGTGAAAGAAACCATAAGAAAAGAAAAAACAAAATTGGACAGGTAAGATAATTTAGTTATGTATTTCTTTATTTGATATTTCATTTTAGAATGCTTAACTGTCAGGTTTCTAGTAAATATCAAGAGATATATGTTAAATAATACAGAGTTTATTTATGCGTATAGAAAAACGTCTTGGCTATAAAAACTAAACATTTTCAAAGACAGAAACTTTCATAATCTTATTGTAAATAATACTTTCTTATTTGAAATAAGAATTTGCGTACTTTTTCTTTTGCAACATTAGCCAAAAGTTGCGAAACCTTTGAGAGCATCGAAACTGTGTGTCAGAACATCCCTGAAGCATCAAGTGCTTTGAAACAGTTTAGTCGAAACCATACTGGACGACCACGTCTCGAAGTTGACCAACCAGAGCTTTTATCAACAATTATAAAAATTGTGCAAAATTTATCAGCAGCTGACGAACGTCGAAGAACATAATGTCTCCGTAGCGTCTCCACTTTAGATGACCTTCAGGAAGAGTTGACAAAGATAGACTTTACCTTGAGTAGGAGTGGTTTGTACCTTCGTCTTTTACCACGACGTGGAAACACTTCTGAAGGAAAAAAACGTGTCAGCACAGTTCCAGTAAAGCTGTTACGTCCAGAAAACTCAATGCGAAAAAAAAATGACGATAGAATGTTTGCCAAATCATTCATTGACGACATGTTCGAAGTTTGCAAATTGTTTGGACCAAAAGCTGTGCTTTTCATTTCCAACGATAATAAAGCCAGGGTCCCATTGGGTATTGCTGCAGCAAGCCTTCAAGCGCCGTTGCTGATGCATATGGAATACAAGGTCAAACTCATGGATCACGATTTTGTCGTTAGCTCACAGCACAAATTGATCCCATCAGTGTATGGCGTATGCGAAGTTAACAATACTGGAAATGTATCATACAGTGGGGACACTTTCATACGCATAAGAAGTGCGAAACACGATACATCAAATGCTTTTACACATGCTTTTGATGTTAGAGAGCTTTTTAAAACCGAGTTGGTTAAACGTAGACCAATTATGTTAATGGAGACTGATGGAGCTCAGGATGAAGCACCACGTTTCCCTAAAACCTTAGCAACTGCTGTTGACTTCTTTCGCTTGCTTAATTTAGATGCCCTTCTTCATGGTGTGAATGCAGCTGGCCTTTCAGCCTTTAACCCCATAGAACGAAGAATGGCACCTCTTTCTCGTGATTTGGCTGGAATAGTCCTTCCTCATGATTTTTTTGGCAATCACCTTGATTCTTCTGGAAAAACAATCGACTATGAATTGGAGGTAGAGAACTTTCAAAATGCGGCTGATGTTTTATCCCAAGTTTGGGAGAAAACCGTCATTGACGGGTATCCTGTTCATTGCCAGGCTGTACCAGTTGGGAAAGCATATGAACCACCAATTCCAGATCCTGTTTGGGTAGACAAACATTGTCAGCAATCGCGATACAGCCTACAAATCGTAAAATGCCAAGAGGAGTCATGTTGCACACCGTTTGAAACAAACTGGCTGAAAAACTTCCCCCAACGTTTCATTCCATTTCCGGCAATCTACGAATACTGCGAGAATGGTTACAAAGCAATGGAACCGTCTCGATATTTTAAAAACGTATCAAAACAATCAACGTTTGCACCACTGACACATCGACTTTTGCTACATGATATACCTATAGAAGGATTAAAATACAAAATTATACCATTTGATCTGTATTGCCCATCGTTAAAGGAAAAGCTCTCAAACGGAATTTGCGACAAGTGCAATAAATACTGGCCAAGCGAGGCTGCAATGAAACGGCACAAGAAAGCACATACACAAAAAAAAAAACACGGTTGAAATGGAGAGTGAGGATAGTGTAAGTGACAGTGAATCTATTAATAAAAGTGAAGATATCAGTGAGGAGATTGATTATAAAAGTGTGGAAGCAGAGTTCATGCCTGTATTTGATAACATATTTGATTTATTTAAGTCACCATTTGAGGAAATATGAAATATAAATACTCGCAACAAGAATTCTTTTTTAGAATATTTTTCTTTCTTTAACAAAAACTGGAAAGTTATTAACAAATAACTTTCCGGTTTTTAATTAAGCACAGAGAAATTAAAAAAATGTTTTTTTGTGTTTAATGTTTTGAAAAATTAATGCGTTGGGGAAGGAAGGGGAGGAGAGCCTGAACTTGTAATAAAAAATGCGTACGTACGCAGAAGGGGGGGAAGGGGAGGTCGTTGAAAGCATACAAGTGCGTACAAGGGGGGAGGGGGGGGTCCTAAATCAGTGGTTTTACTGCGTACGTACTTTATGGATGGCCCCAAAGCGTCAGCCATTGCGGAAGTCTCTGCACTCGTATCAAATTTAACAGTATCAAATTTTTACAAATTTCATATATATATAATCTATATATTATATAATATATAATTTCATATATTATATAATCCAATTCATTCATTATTCCATATTCATGACGTTGTATTTCAAGGCTTCCCTCACTTTTCTGTCAAAGTTATTAACTTCTACTTTTAAAGTATTTTTATTGTTCCATGTAAAATTGCCATGACAATTTTTTGAATGCTCTGCTATGGCTGAATAATTCCGTTTCCTTCGTATGTATTTTTTTGATGTTGGTAATTGTGAGATGAGATTTTTAATTTTGTTTCACCGATATAACATTTTTGCATTCAAGTTTGTACACACCTGGTTAGAATTTATAGGAAGAGGAGGTTTATTTTTAGTTTAGCGTGTTATTTTTATTTTCAATTTCCATAGTGTACTGAATATTTCTATGTTGGTTATTAAGTAATATTAAATTTTTTTTGCATTTTCATTAGAGTTAAAACAAGAATGGGAGTCATCGACATATCTTTTAAATGACTTTCATTGAATATTATTGGAAATCGCCCGTGCAACCGCATTACTTCCGTGAAACAGCAGATAAACCATAAGTCTCAAACCAACAGGTCCAGAATCTTCTAGTTCATAAATATCGTGTTAAAATAAAAAATAAAAATGCAAAAGACATATATCTAAAAGTGCTTTTACTTCATCAAAGGTAAATTTTGATTTAAAATTAGGATCATTTTTCAACCTCTCAATAAGGATAATTATCGCTTCCTTTACTGGGACTGAAGGATATAAATTAATGATATCATAAGACGCTTGGATTTCATCTTTGTCAATATTCTATGAATTAGCTAAGTTAAAAAATTGTTGAGATTTTTTTAAATGTATATTGTTCTTATTAAGGGTGGGTTGTATCATATCGGTTAAGAATTTAGAAATTTTGTATGTAGCCGTTCCAATAGTGCTTACGATAACTTGCATCGGGTAGTGGACTTTTATGAATCCATATAGTGGGTTGTGGGTTTTTACGAATCCATATAAACGAGGTGGTATAGCATCACTCGGATAAAGATCTTCACATTCTTTAACTTTAAATCCCAAATGTTTTATTTTAAATTAAGGAGCGAGTCTACATTTCCGTATTTCCAATACAAAATTTTATGCTTTACCGTTTAGTTTTTTTCGAGCAACTTTAAAAACTAAAAAATATTTTAGTCATAGCCATGTTTGAAAACTGGTTGTAATCTTTTAAAAGCATTTAAGTTTCGAGCAATCCATAGACAAAAAAAATCCATGAAAAAATGTCTGGCATGAGCTGGAAATAATGCAAAAATAATACCATAGTAACAAAAACTCACTGACGCTGACATGACATTTATATTCTTTGAGTGGGCTTTCATAAAAACAATTACGGAAAAAGTAACCTATTCCTTTACGAATGAATGAGTGCTACCAACTGGAACGTCCTGAAAAGATTTTAAAAGAGGGGGGGGGGGGGGGTACAGTGTCTGTTTTTTGCCGACGAAGACCAAAAAATTTTTGCCCACTAACTTACCTAAATAAAAAAAAAAAAGAAACTCGTTTTCCGAGATTTTCTGCCAACAATAAATCCAATATTAAAAAATAGGTTCAACAGATTGAACACCCAATAAGTAGATTAATTACTTGACTGTATTTTCAAAAGATTATTACTTTCGTAGACTCTACGAATTGTAGAGTACCAATTAATTACCTGTAGACCCAAAGCATGCCAAGCAGAATATCTATAAGTTTTCTATAGATTATTTTTTTTTATTGTTGAGATGGTGCTCAGATATAAAATACTCAATATAGTGCTATTACTATTATTATTGAAAATACTCATCGTACATTATGCTCTAATGCTATTACATTTCCATAATTTCTAAAAACCTGGTTTTAAAAAACGAATGCATACTAAGATTTACATTAGAAATTTAACGTTATTTAAAAGATCTATTTTAGCAAAGAAATAATTCATATATTAATGGCTATATTAGAGGTAAGATTTCAGGACGATTACACTTAAAAAATCCTAAAATATCCTAATATTTGAAAACCTCCTAAAACACCTAATTTTTCCTAAAATGCAGGTGACAAGAATTTATGTACTATACTTCCAAGTATAATACATAAACTCTTGTCAGCTAATGAACAATATAGTTAAAGAAACAGCCCATACTTCATGTGCTATTTTCCTAGTAATATATTACTAGGAGTATACTATTTTATATTAATATAAAATAGTATACTCAATGCAACTAAGGCATAGAACAAACAAACTCGTAAAAAAAAAAAACATAATACATAAACATATAATACATAATATATAATACATAATATATATTACATAAACTCTTGTCAGCTAATAAACAATATAGTTAAAGAAATAGCCCATACTTCATGTGCTATTTTCCTAGTAATATATTACTAGGAGTATCAGGGGCGGATCTAGGATTTTATATAGGTGTAGCTAAAATTTGTAAAATTACGTCATAATTGCAACTATTTAATAAATCGGTTAGTCTACGTCAAAAAGACGTCTGACAATTACGTCATGTAGACGCCGCCAGACAGTTCTTTTATCTGAGCGTTTTTAATTCAGTTTTTGCACACATATTTTTTTCATTTATTTTTAATGGATTCTAGTAAAATAATTAATCGTAAAATATAAAATTTGCCTTGGCTATTCTGTTCGTAATTTAGACATGTCTAATTTACTTAACGAAGTGCACCAACTAGAAGGTAAGCCATAGGACTTTGCACTCCAT